ATGACCGTATCTCATCATCCCATGTGAGGGAATGTGTAAAACCAGCGTCTACATGGGGAATCTTACGAAATTTAAGCTTTGAACCTTGTGATTTTCTTCTCAAACCCCAGCGTCCACAGCAGAACGGGAAATCTGCCCCTACTATCGTTTGCCCTGGAAGCAGCGTCTACATGAAGATTGCCACTTTCTGATGTGTAAATATCCCGCTGATGTGAAATCTTCCCAATGCCAGCGTCCGCAGTAGATGAGGTGTATTCTCACCGCGTGATGTGTGTTAACCCCGGGACAAGTAAGTGTTGTTGATGCTGATGCCATGGGCGAGATAGTTTGCAACATGCGTAGTTGATGTCGATTCAGTCTCTTTATATGAAATGGTATATGGACGCATATATGCGTTGGAGTTCTAAACATTCCCAAGTTCCGGAACAGTTCGCAGTCAAGCCTTCAGGCAAACATTCCAGACTTATGAAATCCTTGTTCATGGCCCAGACGGTTAATAAGAGGATTGAGATTGCAGAGGAAGGGGAATACAGGGAACAATTTGGGATTCATTTGGCAAACTTGCATTGCCCAGGAAGCTGGGTCCTTTGCTCGCTCCGGTGCCGCAGTACACAATCGCCTTCAACGCGGTTGCTCTGACGGCGGGCCTCGGATTTGTATTTCGTGGGACGTGCTTGTGCAAAGTCTGCTTGCGTACAAATCCGCTGCGAGTGCTCAATTCTGTGTGAAATGTTTGAACTGGGAAAGCTGGCGTCTAGTTGAAGCTGCAATGTTGTCTCAGATCCTGGCTGGATTCGTCTTGGCAATGCCAGCCCCAAAGAGCAAGAACCCGGAGCCAGCGGCAGGCCACCTCTGGGCTGCGAAGTACCATGAACAAGTTTGTTTTCAAGAGATCGTCAGGTGGATCGCCGATGGGATTCCTGATGCGGTCAGGAGTGCTCCAGCCGACCCAGCGCCAACCCTAGACGCATCATCCCTGGGCAGGAGCGATTCCAGATATGATTGAGGCATCTCTCCATGGAGTGTCGCAAATCTTTGTCGTCAACCATGCTGGGGCAGGATTGCTCATCCTTGCGGGGCTTCTCGGTCGCGATTATGCTGTCCATGTGACAAGTGGACCTATGTTAGTCCCACACCAAGGATTTTCTGCTACAGTCCTGCAGCAGCTGCGGTGACCTTCGCCGGGTCGCTGCTTGGCAACGTCACGGCCGTTCTGTGCCGACAGGATATTGACGAGGTTTGCTGGCCCCATGACACAGAGCACGCCTTGCTGTTGTTGCAGCTTCGCATGTCATCTTACATTGAATGATGTTTTAAGACAATCCTTTGACATCTTTTGCACGCCCGCTCTGTTTACGCAATGGTGTGCCAGGGAAGGGCTACGGGGTTTCGGTCTCACATCTTACTTTAGGGGGGTATCGGCTTTAAGACTAGACTTCGGCAGAGCAATGGCACACGCTAACCTGTACCTACTTGCTGTTGACTGGCTCGGCTTCTGCTTCCCTGGCGCTTTCACGCACTTACTTTGCCGCAGCCAATCGGTCGGTTGCTCAGGCAGACCAGACCCCCTTGCTCTTTCTTTTTTTCACGATCTCGCTCTTGCTCTCATTCTCACTCGCGCTCCCTTGCTTTTCCTCTCCTCGTCGCTCTCTCATTTCTGTTGTCCCGCTCTCCCGCTGCTGTTTCTAGGACTGCCCTCCATACTGGATTTATCTACTAGTTGATCCTCCCTTTCTTGCATTTGTCGCCCGATCCATTGATGAGCAGGTGATGGATGGCCTCTGGGGCTACAACTCAGCCTTGACTGCTCTGGCTGTCTCGAGCCTCGGTCTGCACACAGAATGGACATTTTCCTGGCAGCTAGCAGCAACACCCACCAAGATCAGATAAGACAATTTGTATGTTCCGCCTCTTGTGCAGGTTCTCTGCAGCTCTCAACACAAATCTTGGCGGACTAGTGCACTTCTGCAGGATTTTCTTCGTGCCGCTGGGGGCACCCTTTGCCCTGCTGGCGTGTGGAGGTGAGCGAGTGGCGATGCCTTTTAGAGCGACGGATGTACAATCCTTGTGAAAGACTTTCCTGCAGGTGCCATGGCATCGGCTGTGGCGACGATTGGATTCAAGGAAGCTCTTGGAAATGCAAGACTCCCCCCAATGACCGTTCCATTTTGCGCCGTTGCGCCGAGGGCTTAAGCAGTTGCTGTGCCTGCTTCGGCAGCAGCTCTGAAATGTGCAGGTGCGGGAGAAGCTAGGTGTGAGACACTGTCAGGTCAGGTTGCTTCCTGCTTGGAGGGCGAGTTCCAGGTCTTGTCCATGCGAGACTTCCTCACTCGCCTGAGATGAACCTACACGCATACCAGCACTTCTAATGTTGCTTCAGATTTGTCCATGGTCACAGTTGCATTTGCATGATCGCTTGCGCGGCTGCCTTTGGCGGCTTCTCCTTTTCCGAAGCGTGATAATGGTGTGCCTTAGCTGGGCAAGTTTCACAGAAAGACCAACAACAAGAGCGCAAGAGCGCAAACTGCAATGCGCGTTGGCCATTGACTTTCTGTCTCAAAACCATTTCAGTGCTCGCTGGGGTCACCGTGCAGTGAGGTACTTGCGGAAGCCAAAGGATTTGAGGAGGCTCCGGGATGTTGAGCCAACGTTGGAGTGCAGCCGAAAGGGCAACGCTTGCGAGGTCTGCAGTCAAGGTACTGGTGCCTCCGTGCGCGTTGAGGGCGAGGCCTGAGACGTGGCGCCATTAAAACACAGAATACTTTTTTTTCCTCCGTATTTTCTATGGTTTTTCTAGATAGTTTTTTGTTTTTTGTGTTTTCTTTGTCCTAGGAATATTGCAACATGCAGCATTTGGAGCTCTTGAGAGGCTGCCAAAATTGCAAATTACAACATTTGCGGTTCTTGAATGGCTACGAAAACTGCAAATTGCAGCAGTTGGAGTTCTCGAAAGGCTGCGATACGGCAATTTACAACATTTGCGGCTCTTGACAGGCTACGAATTTGCAAATAACAGCATTTGGAGCTCTTGAAAGGCTGCTAACAACGCAAATTACTGCAAATTACAATATTTGCGGCTTTTGAAAGGCTACGAAAACTGCGAATTGCAGCGTTTGGAGTTCTTGGGCTGCCAATACTGCAAATTACAATCTTTGCGGTTTCTAAAAAGCCAAAACCTTCAAACTCAAAACCCTAACAACCTCAAAAGCCCTGCGCCATAAAAACCCTAAAAACACCAAACCCCAAAACGCATAACAACTTGAAACCCAAAAAAACTCTTAACCCTAAAAAACCCTAAATCCTAAAACCACTGAGCCCTAAAAACCTCAAACCTTAGACAGCCCAAACCCTAAAATCCCTGAAATGCGATGCGCGTGTCTCAAAATCCCTACACCCTAACAACCCTAAAAGCCCTAAACCCTGAAGACCTTAAGAAAAACCAAACCCTATAAACCCTGAAACGACTAAAAACTCAAACAAACTTAAAAACCTTGAACACCCTGAACACCAGAAACCCCAAATTCTAAACACCCTAAAAGTCCTAAACACTACAAACCCTAAACCGTAAAAGCCCTGGCCGCTCTGCACCCTAAAACCTGTAAACCCTAAAAACCTTAAACCCTAAAACCACTAAAACCCCTAAACCCAACAACCCTAAAAAAAGCACTAGATCCTAAAAACCTGAAACCATAAGCCCTAAAACCCCTAAACCCTCAACCCTACAAACCCTAAACCACAAAAATCTGAACACTGAAAACTCTAAACCTTAAAGCCTTAAACCCTAAAACTCCTGAAGCCCTAAAAACCCCTGAACCCGAAGCGCCCTAATCCACCCCAGGCCCTAAAACCCCAAACCCTCAAAACGCCAAACCCCCAAAAGCTGAAAAGCCTAAACTCTAAAAACACTAAAGTCCCTGAACCCTAGACACCCAACAATACAGACCTTAAAAACACCAAACCCTAAAGCCTTAAACCTTAAAAACCCTAAACCCTAAAAACTTTAAACACAAAAAGCACCAAAAAGAATTGTAAACCCCTAACACCCTACGCCGTAGAAAACCTTTAAAACCACAAACCCTAGACAGCCTAAACCTTAAAAACCCTGAACCCTGAAAACCCTGAACCCCAAACATCCTAAAGCTTAAAGACCCTACAAACCCCAAACCCTAAACGCACTAAAAACCCTAAACTCTAAACCCTGAAGGCCCTAAACCCTAAAACCCTAAACCCTAAAGCACCAGAAACTCTAAAATCGAAAAACTTTAAAAGGCCTTAACACTACAAACCCTAAACCCTAAAAAGCCCTGACAACCCTAAGCCCTAAAAACTCGAAACCCCTTAAAACCCTAAACCCTGCAAGCCTAACAGCCTAAACCCTAAAAACTCTGAACCCTAAAAACCCTAATCCCTCAAAACCTTAAACCCTCCAAAACCTAAACCCTAAACATCCTACAAACCGTAAACCCCCAAAACCCTAAGCCCTAAAACCCTAAACACCTGAAACGCCCTAAAAACACTAAACCCTAAGCACCTTAAAAGCCCCTAAACCCCAAACCCCAAAACCCTAAACCCTAAAAGCCCAAAAGCCCTAAACCCCCAAAACCCTAAACCCTGAATCCCCTAAACCGTGATGCGCGTGTCTAAATCCCCTAAACCCCAGGAATCCTAAACCTAAAAACCCTAAACACCAAAAAGCTTAAAACCTTAACCCTAAAGGGTGCAATTTGCAGTATTCGTAATCTTTCAAGAGCCGTACATGTTGTAATTTGCAAAATTGGCAGTCTTTCAAGAATTCTACAGGCTGCAATTTGCAGTGTTCGTAATTTGTCCAGAGCCGCACATGTTGTGATTTGCAGCATCGGCAGCCTTTCAAGAGCTTCGAATGCTGCAATTTGCAGTTTGCGTAGCCTTTCAAGAGCCGCATGTTGTAAATTGCAGTATTGGCATGCTTTCAAGAGCTCCAAATGCTGCAATTTGCAGTACTCCTGGGACAAAAAACACAAAAAACGAGAACAAAAAACAAAAGAAACATTCTTTTAAAAAACTGTTAAATCAATTTTCGATCTTAAGAAGTCAAACTCAGCCCGCTTGGAGGTCGTGGAGTCGCCGGCCAAGGGACAGGAGGTGGAGATCTCCTGTGGCACAGCCGGGCCCTGGGCCCTTGAAGCGCTGCTCACTGCTGACAAGTGGGCTGCGATCCGGATATGAGGCGGAGCACAGCGCATCAGTCTTACTCAGCCTGCTGGCTCACGTGATTCACCCCTAGCTGCATGCACAAGCGATTGTCATGGCCAAAGCGCATGCTCAGATAGAAGTTCTTGGAACGGTCGACTCCAAGGCCGCATACTGTTCACAAAGCAGTTCGTTGCATGCAGTTGGCCTATCCACTTTGCCCGATCCAGGCTTATCCGCTAGCCAAGAAGCCCTCGCCTCGGATTTGCCAACCGACGGACATGCTTGGCGTACTGGCTGCGCCCGGTATCCTGACCAGGAAACACAGCATCGAGTACCTGCGAGAGATTGCGCATTTGCGACCCAGGCCGCAGTGTTGCATTGCATGCGTCCAACATCCAGCCGGTTTCGGTCACAACCTGATTGAATATCGCATGGGCTCATAGAGGTAGCAGGCTTTCACCACAGGGGGGGGTGCATCCAAGAAGATTCGGCAAGGCTTTTGAATCACGCCAGCTCCGCTAAAGCATCTGAACTTAGAGCACCTCGCACGTAGCATCTCATCATCACGTGTAGAAGTTTCTTGAAGTTTCTAGGAAACTCTGGATGCCCGGGACGCGATGGCACGGGCTGCGGGCCTGGCCACTGGGGTCTTGGCGACTGCCTCAGTCACGGCTCTTGGCCTCTGCTTTGGGCCCCTTGTGCGGTTCCAGTTAAGGTCGTTCAGGTAGAGCACCTTTGGCGAAGTTGGGCTCCGGTGAGGACAAGATCTTCGAGATGTGAGATGACAGACAGGCGCTTCGAGCTGGTGTCGAAGGACCTTTGGTGAGCACTCAACTCGCTAAGAATTTGTAAGGATCCCTGGGGCCCTAGGCCTGCACCTGAGGAGAAATACCTGGAGTCGAAACTTGCAGCATCCACAACTTACTTCCAGGCTGGCAGTGGCAGAGCTGCGCCAACTCCAAACTTAGAAAGCATGCTGAGACGTAGTGAGGCATCTGGCGGTATGAGGTGCTGCGACCTAAAGATGGGTTCTGGAGAGGCGGCCGAGCATCTTGGCAAATCTCAAGCGACTGCGCTACTTGCACATCGGTCTCTGCTGGATGTTGAACTTAGACTTAGACCAGACTTTGGAGCATGACTCAGACAGGCCGAGACTAGCTCTGCCACGCATACCCATGAAAACACACCGTCCTTGTGAAAGTGATGCGGCGAAACCGACAGTATGACCAAAGCGTGTAAGCTCACACATCATTAGTTCAAGAACATATGCACTTGATCCGTCGGGTTCACCGCCATTCCTTTGTGCATGCTGCGAGGAAAGGCTGGCTCATCTGCATCCACTTTGAAGGCATGGTTCGGAGATTTCTTCTACTTGGCTGGGATGGTAGCTGGGATGAGGCAAGCGACTGAATGGAAAAGTCTTGGAGAGTTCCTACAATGCCGGGCCCAGCCCAGTCTGCATCGAGGCTCGGTTTCTTCTATCTGGTGTGCTTGTTTCGATCTGTTCCTTCTTGCGGAGGCCGGAAACTGCCCGGAATTCCCCGCGCTTGGCGAAGGGGTGCTAGGCATGCGTGCAGGAGCTTTTCTTTCACAGGCAGCAGCACCCACATGCAAACTTGCATGTTACGTGCCAGACCTGCAGAAGCATGCGTTCGCGGAAGAAAGTGGACATGGCCAACTTGCATGACCAGCAGTATGTTGTGATGCAGCTTTCAGGAGGGCGGCGGGAGCTCATCATTCCACCGCGTTGCTTATGCTGCAAAGCAGGATTAGGATTGTTCATTTGGACTTGTTGGTGGGATGGTGCGTTAAGAGATCGCAAGCTGTCTCAGTCAGGAATTCAGGAATTTCCTGCTAAGGGGGAGGGGTCAGACCCCCCCCCCGCCAAATGCATATGCTTCGGCGAGTGGAGTGTTAACAGGGTTTTGAGGTCCCAAACACTGTCCAGCGCGGTGAATCCTATCGAGTGCTTCTCGTCGAGGGCTATTTTCGCGAAAATAGGCCTCAATAGCACTAATGAGGCTTATCGAGTGGAATTTCATGTCCAAATTCTGGCTAACGAGCGCTCACGAAGCCTTTCGAAGCAATCCTATCGATGCAATTTTTTGTTTTTCGAAGTTGATTGCAAGGGACTGAATCGAGCGCTATTGAGGCTAATCGAGCGGGATTTCCTGCCCCAAGTTCGGGCAATTTTTCTGCTATCTGTTTTTCTCAGCCGTACCTTGTGTGTCCCGATGCCAGAACCGATGAGGCTTATGCTTGAAACTGCGACAGATTTCTCCAAACCCGAATAAGCTTCCAGAATAAGCATGAAATCCCAGAAATTTCAACAATCTCCCCCAGACCCCAGGAAGTCTCAGTTGGCTTCAGTAACCTTCGATAGGGTTCGATAGTTTTGAAGACTCTTCCCCTAATCATATGAGAAACCCATGGAGCAAATGGAGTCTGATGGTCTGGATGAGAGCCATGACGAAGTCACGCCAGTGGATGCCGGCTTGGAGCAAAGGATTTTCAGCATACAGACAAAGAAGTTCGATTGCTTTTCAAGAATCATACAGTGTTAAGAGGGAGGCGGCTTTTTTTTTTCAGCAGTAATTCGTGTGTCCCATGCCAGAGCCGATGAGGCTTATGCTTGAATGCGACAGAGTTCTCCAAACCCGAATAAGCCTCCAGATCGCTTGAAATCGCAATAGTCTGCCCCAACAAGCCTCCAGACTTATTACTTGAAATTCCAACAATCTTCCCCATACCCCAATAAGTCTCGGTTGGCTTCGGTAGCCTTCGATAGGGCTCGATAGTTTTGAAGACTCTTCGCCTAATCATTTTAAAGCCCATGGCGCAAATAGAGTCTGATGGTCCGGATGAAACCGAGAGCCATGATGAAGCCAAGCAGAATCCGGATTCGGGCCCACTTGGTGAAGCTACTGAGTAGCATTGAGTGCTACTGAAGGTCAAAAATATCCTACTTTAGGGATTAGCTGGCATCGGTTCGGGAACCCCAAATTCTTCATGATAAGCAGAAGGGCCACTGAACTCCGTTGAAAGCTTGTGAAGTAAGTCTACTGAGGGCTATTGAGGGCTATTGAGGGCTATCGAAGCCTACTGAAGCCTATTGAGGGCTATTGAGGGCTATTGAGGGCCGTGGAAGGCTTAATGCATTATTTGGCTTTGGCCTCCGCCTGGGTGAGATTGGATATGTTTGTCTGCTTTTGCAGGCCAGGGCAGGTTGCCAAACGCTGCTATTGTGAGCTTTGTTTCCCTACAACTCGGAAACAGGCACCGTTCGGGAACCCTAGATTCTTCATGATAAATAGAAGGGCCACTGAACTCCGTTGAAAGTTAGTGAAGTACGTCTACTGAAGGCTATTGAGGGCTATCGAAGCCTACTGACGCCTACTGAGGGCTGTTGAGGGCTATTGAGGGCTGTGGAA